CCTTGGAACCTTTCTTCCATTCGCTGTAAACGGTCGTCAACACCATTATCCTTCTTAGGCGGCATCGTGGATTTTCGCTGGTCTCTGGATACCAACTGATGTAGAACGTGAATACGAAACGGGAATAAAAGTGAGATACTCTCTCACGATGAACAATTTGAGATACTCTCTCAATGAAACTTAATTTTTAATCGTCAAATAAACTGTCTTACATCCTTAGTTTCTCATCCTTAAATAATAAAAGAGTCCTAACCTTGCTATACATCTTGCAAGGTAATTTATTTATTTCCTAAAAATGATAAGAAAACTGAAAAAGGAATAGATATGTATAATAATAAAAGTAAGGACTAGATCTTGAGCCGGTCAAACTTGTCGAGAAAGGCTAATGCGGTCTCATCTCCATCACTCAGGGTCACATAAAAGAAATGTATCTTGGCCTTTGCTTTTACTCTATTATTTGGTCATGCATTCCTTGTCATCAATCTCACCAACCTCCCATTCAAAACTTTGTGTTTTTCCATTAGAAACTTGCTTCTCGCCTCAATCAGTGATGCATCATCGATTATCTCTCTTGTTATATTCATCTGTGCCCTATGTCTTCCATGTATGAAAATTATTGGATTAAATAAATCAAATGCTTGTTTCATGGAGATTGTAGTGCGGTTTTGGGGCAACTAGAAGAAGAGAGGTTTTTTTTTTTTTTTTTTCCTTGGTGCCTGCCCGTGGAGATGCCTAATGAGAAGAAGAAGAATGTTCGCCCGTTTGTTTTATTGTCTATTTAAAATATAAATAAAAAATAAATAAAACACGTATTGTATTTTAATACACATATTTGTGCCGTTTAAGAGCCACGTAGGCGGATTACTCCATAAAAAAAAAAAAAATTGTGTGGGCTTAAAAAAAACCGAGATAAAAAGTAGTAAAACAACGTCACTTTATTCACTTGTGTCGTATATGTAGGAAATATTATACATCAACGATGACCTTTTGAAATCCATACTAATAACTAGGGTGAGCAACGATGAGGTTCGGTGAAAAACCGTACCGAACCAAAAAAAGCCGAAAAACTGAACTTAGCAAAAATAAATAAATAAATAGATGAACCGCACCGCAATTTAGAAAAAAAACCAAACTGAAACCAAACAATTTTTTTTACACTAAAATAAACGAACCGAAAACACCGAAATGCAAGGTTCGGCTCGATTTTTGGTTTTCTATAAATTTTATTCAATTTGGTACGATTTCGTGCAAAATAGCACCGACTTGACAAAACCAAAAACCCAACTCATGAAAAACTATAACCGCACCGCACCTTAATGAAGGAAAAAACTGAATAGAAGATTTGTTACACTAAAATAACCGAACAAAGCCGCACCCTTAATTGCACGTTTCGATTCAATTTTTCTGCTCGATTTTACTCACACCTACTAATAATAACGCTTAATAATAACGCTTTATATTCAAGTAACTTCTATAAATTAATTATCTATGATAATATTTACGCAGAATCCAATCTTTACCGGAGAAATTCACAATAATTTTAGCATTATTATTATGTCGAAGGGGCACATTCAAGAAATTTCTCGACATAAAAGGACCCCACAAAATAATTTCCTTGTATTAAAAGGATTCGTGGATAGATATATCAATCAACACGAGCTCTGGCTGCTCACCCACGCTGATATAGTCGTCCACTTTATCCTCCAAAACTT